GCATTCACGGCTCGTGGTAATTGCTAGTTTATATTATTTGGACAGTTGTCTGATAGGAGGAGTATTGTATGTGATTGGGACTGATCACTTGAGGGGACTGACTGGCTTTGAGTTCGATTAATTGTATTTGAGTGNACAAGGTAATGACCATTATCATCGTTATTATCATCGTAATTTGAGCATGACACTAGGAGTGAATGAACGTTATCAGTTTTTATCAGTGAGTGCTATTGATAGATGATGCTTGTTACTCATTGCAGCATTCACCTATTTGTTATCATTGCATTTGTTTATCACACTGTCAGAAAGTGGTTCGTTTTGGAGTGAAACTTTGCCTTTATCTGAAAATTTTTGAGTTAGTATTTGAATAATGGTATAATTATTATAGATTTGAAGAACGGTATAGTTATAATATTCTATCGTTGATTTGTTTCGTTGATTTTAATTGATTACTCAGTTGAAACATATCATCACGTATCGATTATCGTGTTTATGTCTATTTGCGGTGATGCAGAATTGTTGCATTTATTACTGCGAAGACGTTAGGAATAGAGAATGTAAGAAGGCATTACATAATAATAGTAATGGACTTTATCATGCTTAAATTAACGTGAGTGCAGTGTAAAGGTGATCGAGTGGTTGTGCATTAAAGCGTTAGTTTTGCGATGGATTATTGATGTTTGATGTGCTCTGGAGTGGATTTTATTATAGCAACAATAAATAGAATAATAATATTATGAGTAGGGATGCTGCAAAGAGTGTTACGTTGGTGGTTGNTGGTTGTTTGGTGTGTTGAAGTGAATTAATTAATAAAGTTTGAGACATTTCCTCATCACGCATTAGTCACTTTCAAGTTGGAGGATCGATCGATCGATCGATCGATGCTATTACTGGTGTTGTATTCGACGACTATAAATGCAGTTTATCGCTGAAGTAAAGTAATAATTTTATTGATTTTGGGAGAAGAAAGCATGCTGCTGACGAGTTGAAGATGGCATATTAAAGTGGATGTGATATGAGATATTAGTGATGTGAGCTGTTGTGTTATTGTTTGAGCATTCAATTATGACAAACGCGCAGTTTACTTTTGTTGGTTAAGCAGCAGCAGCAGCCTTTCGTGAGGAGTGAATGAGGAGTGCCGATGCGCACTTCATTGCTATTGCTTTCGTTTTCTTTTCGAGTTTTATAGTCTATGAGCTTTTTTGAGCAAAATTCATTTGTTTTGTTGGTAATTCAGCTTTTTAATAAGTCATTTTTAAAATTTATGCATGTTGGTATGTATCCGACTAATAAGATAGGAGATAGGCTATCGTGATCAGTATTTCTTCTTGGATGTATCGTAATCAGTTAGCCAACTGATCATTTTTTTGGAGGGGGGGGGGGATATTTGTTCGAAGGAGATATGTTATAGTAACAATGAAATAGGATTGCATTTCATTTCATTTATTTCTCATTTGAATATTATAATACTTTTAAAAAGGATGAAGAGGTTGGTGGGGTTGGGGTGGAAATACATATGAGATATTTGAGGAAAGAAGATGGGAAGAAATGAGGAAAGAGGGAGGGATATGTATCCGAGTTGATGGACGGAGAAGAGGAGAAAAGATTATTCGTGAAATTATGTGGGATATTTAAGACGGATGGATGTGTTGAAGGGGCATGGAAGGATCATCAAACGGGATTGACTGCTGCTGCTGCTGTCGAGAGACTGGATCGAGGGCTTTCAAATAACCAATTTCGAATTTAATTTGGTTCGCGTTTCGATTTGCTCTTCATCCGTTCATTATGTAGTCATTCCATTTGACACTTCACAGTATCAATCGACCCGACCGTAAATATAAACTCGAAATTTTTAATCGATGCTTTTGATAGATCCTGCATCGATACTGATAGAAATGTGCTGTTTTAACGTTAATATTCAGTAGTAGTGATCGTAATGCTAGTTATGTTGTTTTATGTTGATCAAAAAAAGATTTGTATCAAATTTAATATCAACGATTCACGTAATATCGACGTAATAACGTAATATCAACATAATATTAATGTAATATCAACGTGTTGTGTTCTATCAAAATTTGTATCAAAAGAAGTGAACATCAACGATGTATCTAATTGCCAAATACAAATTCACTTGACGGATCACCATAAATCCGCTCTTCCTTTATATACCCACATCTTTTACAAATATCTTCTCTGATTTTGTATGCTTTCATCCTTGATCTCATTTTGAAAATGCGCATGCACATTCATCCGGAAGGGTTACCGTATCATTTAAAGGTGGCACAGTGACNGAAATTAATTGTAGCATAGGAATGTAATGTTCGAGGATCGATTTGTGACAAATGATAAGTTTGAATGAGAGTTGAGAGGTGTTGTCGGTAGGGTGATTAGACGGAAAGGTTTGACACATAACGAAAAATATTATAAGAGTTTTGATTGGGACTGCTGGAATAATAAATAAATAATTCATTTGAATCCGAGTTGGGTTGGACTGATTGCGATTCCGATCGAGTTGAATTATATAATACTATATGTCAACTAGTGCGTTAAATTCGTTTTGAATTCGCATTCCATATGCTTCTTGTTATTGTTATTATTATTGGATTGTTTGGAAACGGATGAGATGTTACCGGATAAGATAGGATCTGCGAATAATGCCTTGAGTTTCGATGTGGAGTGATGCTTACTTACAGTAATCCCTCTAATTCCTCAAATGATTTTTCGTAGTAATACTTTGTGCACATTTTGCATATTTTCGTGAGTTGTCCTTTTGGGGTGTCATTTGGAATGAATGCATCTCTGTGAACATATACGATACTTTTTAATGAAAGAATTACAAGATACGTACGTACTCAGCTTTTTCATTCTCAATTTAACATTTTCGTTTTCTCCACTGACGAAATTTTCCGCCGAATTCATTTCATCTTAAATCCAGTTTTTTAACTCATATTTCATTGAATTTCCGGCGGAAACTCATAAATTCATTTTTCCATTTTTCAATTTCGAAATATTACTTGCAACTTTTTAATTGAATTTAATTGGATATAGAAATGTTGAGCATGTTTTGATGTAAGTTTTGTGGAGTATTAGTGGTTTGAATATAATTCAAGAGTTGCACCCATCTAACAATAGTCACATTCTTTAAAGATTTTTGCATCTGACAGATGTGGGATACGGGGATGGAATGATTAGAATAATGCCATTTTGATTTGGTTTGTGTCGTAAATAAGTGATTGAATTCATTGATGAATATTAGGTGGTGTAATATTTGATATGTGTTAAGTAATAGTTTTTTTTTTAACGAGTTGTTTGGTTGTCATGAAATCATTGATTATTAATAATGTAAGGTGCATTTGAAGTTGCTCATAAGGACATTCGCACTGAACATTGAGAATTTCAATGAATAAGAAATACATAGGAACGCTGTCAAGCACAAACACAAATCCAACTAAACAGCTACTGCTATCGAACAACACCTGCAAGCGTTATAGTTCTTGCTTGTTAAGGTACAATTAGTAGTATCGTCTCGTTTTGATGCTTAATTCTTAGAAATTTCACATTCACATTGTCTCCGACAGATAGCAATCAACATATCTATTTGAGTGTATTTGCGTTTTGCACGTATAGATTATGGATATTGACAGTCGTGAATGAAGAATATTATGTGAAGCGTTCGGGGTGGATAGAATGTAAAAAATTTGAAAAAAAAGTGAACGAATAAATGTGGAATAAAAATTCTTTATGTTAATAAATTAAATAAGCATTGATTGTTTCACACTGAATCAATCGAGTGACTACTTCTTGATGCGATTTGCAATTAAGAAGCTTACTGATCGATCAATTAATCACGTGTTTGTAACATTCTGCTTTGGTCACTCGCTTGAGCTNTTTATTAGACTTGAATCGAGTTGAGTTGGCTTGACTTGGACGAATGACTTTGAAAAATTTTGGAGTTTTAGATGAAATGATGTCCTTTTGTGGCTTAATTTTGAATCAATGCATTATACTTAATTAATGAACATTTTTGATATGATAATTGGAATGAAAAATTAATTAAATGATAATGGTAATGTGGAATAACATAATACTTATAATGATTTTAATAATAATAACATAGTAATAACATTTTTAATGGTTTTTTAATAATTAATGACAATTAATAACATAATAATTAATAATAACATTAATTTAATAATAATAACGTGATTAATGATGGTGATTTTCGTGGAATGGTGATAGTTGAAAGTAAAGTAAATTAAGTAGTTGTGAGTGTATGACTGTGTTGTGTGTATTGTTAAGATTATTGTTGTTGTGTCATTGGATTGTATCGGATGAAATTCACTGCGGAAGGAGTTGAAAGCGAGATGTTTGGTTATTACATGTGATCATTTGATTGCTGTGATCAGATCATTTCCTTAAATTATTATCAGCATCTGACTGCCCCCCCCCTTGATCGGTGAACAATTATTGGAGACATTTTAATATTCGTGAAGAGGATAAATATAATGATTTCACGTTATTGTAATACGTAGAGCATGAGCATTGATTGTTTCACACTGATCGTGAATCTATCGGGTGACTTCTTGATGCCTTTTGAAATTTAGAAGCTTGCTCATGCACCCACCATATCCACCTATACGATGAATTAATCCTCTGTTTGTAACATTCTGCTTTGGTCACCTACTTGAGCTTATATGTTGTTGTGTTATGTTTTGCTGATCTTATCTGTAAATGAAGAGGCAGACATGATGGTGAGATGCAACACACGATTACGATTGCGATTATGATCATGAAGCTTATCGAATTTCATAGAACTGGATCGTAGGTTGGCTTGTAAACGCTGTAATACGAGATGAATAAATACATGATGGTTTTATGATATCAGCATTAAAATACTTTCAGGTTTATCACTTCACATGTAAAAGATAAATGTAATGTTGATAACTTGAAGTAAACAGTTGATGAGTATTGGTTCATTGATCTGTATCGATTGATCAATCATGGATCGAGCCAAGAAGAAGCTTGTCTCTGCGATTGATGGCTTGAGAAACTTTCATGGACGTACTGAGTTAGAGTTCGATGAGAAGGTCTGTGCCGAGCACGTTTGTTTAGCTCAGGTTCGTGCTTGTTGGTTGTTTATTGCGATGCTAATAAAAGTTGTACTGAGATGAGGAACGAGTGATGATTCAGATAGTTCGTCACGGGTTTCCAGATGACCCTCGGTGTATAGCTTACGATGCGGTACAAAGACTCATAGCCATAGGTACGGGGCATGGCACGGTGCGGATTATGGGTGATATCGGCGTGGACTACACCCTCAAACACACCTCTGATGCCGCCGTCACTCATATCCACTTCTTGGTCAATGAGGTCGTTGATTTCTTTATCAGCTGTTTTCGTTTTAGATCATTATTATTGTTATTATTATTATTATTATTATTATTATTATTATT